TTTCATAATTCAAGCTCTTTTAAACACTCGATTGACCCATAAACTAAAAACTATTACCCTATGTCAAAAAATATTCATCACTATTGGAGTAACGTTTTTTCTGTTCAAGAGTACCGAGACACTCAAAAATTCAACAAAAATCTGTGTTGTAGAAATGCAACTGGCCACAGACTATAGTCCGCCTTATATACAATATTTTTATATTTTTTGTAGTATATAGTCCATAAAATTGGTTCAAAATATTAATATGCTTGATATCTTTTATAAAGCCGGCTGATATTTATTATATATGTTTTTTTATGCATATAAAAATACATAAATACTACCAAGTATATTTGTGTTATCATTGGTGACTATAACAGTTCTTACGTCGAACTGGGCAGTTAGAGGTAATCATTTACTGTTGATTTCAGAATTTAACTGCACGAGAAAACAACAACATACAAAACATATAAAAGAAATATAAAGCAAAATATTCAGAAACTTAAATAGCCATTATAATTTATATTAAATTAAATCTTTCTATAGGATTCATATTACTATAATGTTACATGGGATATATATGTTGAAATATTTAATAACTTAATAAGAATTATAATTTTAAATTTGTTAAAAAATTATAATGTTCAATCTAATCTAATGAGAATTATAATATCGATTTCACAGAATTAGCGATGTAACATATGTGCAGTTCATCGTACGGAATAATAACTTGGATTTATTTTTTTTTTGTGTAAATACGAACTAATTAGTCCGTTTCGAAAATATAAATAATTATTGTTGACATTAATAGTGCATTTATAATACGATATTTTGATGACCATTTTTTTTTGCTAAGTATAAAAATATATATGAAAAGATAATTGAATGTGTTTTGAATCAAAAACTCAAAAGTTAATACATATACATCTTAAGTGTTCTGCAAAAGTATATGTAATATACATATATCCATCACATTTAAGAAGCTTTTATAGAAAAAAAGGGAAAAGGGACGTTACGTTAGTTTTAGGTCTGAAATCTCAAGTAAAACAAAATCGTTGGGCTTTTCAATAATGTTGTCTTGTTTAGGTGAGTTTGGGATACTCTTTCCAAGTTGAGGTAAACAGATCGTATTGGTTATTATTTATGTACAAAAATAGTTGTATCGATGAATCATATCCATGATTGGTTGGTTTCAGCAATAAATGATTTTTTGTTATTAAAAATACTTTATTATATATAAATTTAATATTATTGAAATATAGATCGAAAATCTTACTGAGATAATATACCAGGATTGAAACAATCTAAAACACTTATTGATACCTATTGTTATAGGTATAAGAGATATTAGGATTGCATGAATCTATCAAAAGAAAAACTTAGAATCATCACAGGAATCCTAACAGGGCACTGTTGAACATTACCTTATAAAACTGGGTATACTTACGGATGCAAACTGTAGATTCTGTGAAGAGAATAAGGAGTCAGCCACACATGTGTTGTTAGAATACACTGCGCTAATGCACATACGCAATAGGCTCCTAGGAATGTATTATATATTCTTATAGAAGAGGCAATAAAACTCTGTAAAGTATGTTCTATGCTTCTTTTTATTGACGCAACAGGGCTTTAAGACCTACTCTAAGTCCAGAAGGGGGCATAATAGACCCGATGGTCGCAGTACCATATCCCCTAACAATAATATTAATTATAAATCGAAAATATTAATTAATTAATTAAATAAATGTATTTACTATAAATATAAACTTGGTATAAAATTTATTAAATATTCTTAAATTTAATCAAATTAAATTTTATTGCAATGTAGGGCGAAAATATTTATTAATTATTAAAATAAAATTATTAAATTCATCAAGTATTCTTGAAATTAAGTTGAATTAAATTTTTATTAAAATGTATATTTAAAAATCAGTTCTTTATTAAAGTAAAAAAATTTATAATAAAAAGATGTATTATAAAATTTATAAAATATTATTAAATTTAGTAAAAATAAATTTCATTGAAATGTGGATTGAATCAATTAATTATTAAAATAAATAAATTATATAAGAAAAAAGTGTATAATATTAAAAATAAATTAATTTAATGCAAATAAATTTACTACAACATATACCATAAATAAATAAAATTATAATTTAAAATTTAATATAAATATATTTATTATAAAATTTATAAAACATTCTTAAATTTAGTAAAAATAAATTTCATTGAAATGTGGATTGCATCAATTAATAAATCATTAAATAAATTACTCAAAAAAAATGTGTAATATTAAAAACAAATAAATGTAATATAAATAAATTTATTACAACATATACTATAAATAAATAAAACTATAAAGTAAAATTTAATGGAAATAAATTTATTAAATCTGGATCAAATCAATTAATTATTAAAATAAATAAATTATTTAGAAAAAAAGTGTTTAATATTAAAAATAAATAAATTTAATACAAATAAATTTATTACAACATATACTATAAATAAGTAAAATTATTATATTAAATTTAATATACATAAATTAATAATAAAATTTGATAAACAATTTGAAATTAAGTAAAACTAAATTTCATTGAAATGTGGATTGAATCAATTAATTATTAAAATAAATAAATTATTTAAAAAAAATGTATTTTATTTAAAATTTACTTCACCATGCATTATAAATAAATAAAACTTTAATATAAAATTTAATATGAATAAATTAATAATAAAATTTATTTTTAAATTAAGTAAAAATAAATTCTATTGAAATCTGTATCGATTCAATTAATTATTAAAATAAATAAATTATTTCAAAAAAAATGTGTATAATATAAAAAATAAATAAATTTAATATAAATAAATTTATTTTACCATGCATTATAAATAAATGAAATTATAATATAAAATTTAATATAAATAAATTAATAATAAAACTTATTTTTTAATTAAGTAAAAATAAGTTCTATTGAAATTTGGATCGAATAATTATTAAAATAAATAAATTATTTAAAAAAAAAATTTGTATCATATAAAAAATTAATAAATTGAATATAAGTAAATATATTACACCATGCATTATAAATAAATAAAACTATAATATAATATTTAATATAAATAAATTAATAATAAAATTTGATAAATAATTTGAAATTAAGTAAAAATAAATTTCATTCAAATGTGGATTGAATCAATTAATTATTAAAATAAATAAATTATTTAAAAAAATGTATTTTATTTAAAATTTACTTTACCATGCATTATAAATAAATGAAATTATAATATAAAATTTAATATAAATAAATTAACAATAAAATTTATTTTTAAATTAAGTAAAAATAAGTTCTATTGAAATCTGGATTGAATAATTATTAAAATAAATAAATTATTTTAAAAAAAAATGTGTATAATATAAAAAATAAATAAATTGAATATAAGTAAATATATTACACCATGCATTATAAATAAATAAAACTATAATATAAAATTTAATATAAATAAATTTATTATAAAATTTATTAAATATTTTTTTTTTAATATAAAGAAAACTTTATCGGAAGTAAAATGAATAATTAATTATTAATACAAAAATATAATAGTTCTTTTTTGGTATTTTGTAAAAGAGATATAGGTAATTAAAAATTCACCACATAAACTACAGTAGATCGCGTGGTGGGTAGATTGGTAGATTGAAAAAATTACAATCGAACGTAATAGTTAAATGAGAGCGCACAAATTAATAATTAATAACAAATGATAAAGAGCCAGAGTCAGTGCCTACATACCAGAGAGTAAAATGTGTATGAAATAAAGCAACTACAACCACCAACCAACCAAACAGACCATGAGCAAAAATTAATAAAAAATCACTTTTGCTTTTTATGACGTGCATTTTATTATTGTTGGTTTTGTTGTTGTTGCTGTTTTTGCTGTTGTTGCTGTTTTTGCTGTTATTGTTTTCTTTATACTGTCAATAATGGTGTTGTTGGCGTTGTTGTTGTTATGTTGCTGTTAAGCTTACTCCCAATCAATATTGCTTTTTGGCTTTTAATACTGTATGAGTATTTATGTATGTACCGATATATATTATTGCTGCTGTTCTCGTTGTTGTTGTTCTCGTTGTTGTTGTTGTTGTTGTTTGGTGAATAGTTTGGAGACTTTAGTGTAATACGGTATGCGCGTAAATAATTTTCAGCACGTACATTTAACGTATTTCTGCTATGCTATGTTTATTTGTATGTTGTATGTTACTTACTAGATGTCGCTCACATTGTACTGATTTAATATCTATAAAAATATGCATGTGTGCATTTTCGCGCGCGTGTGTGTATGTGTGTGTGAGTGTGTGTGTGTGTGTATGTAAATGTACATACTTTTCTTAAGTTCATTGTTAAATTAAATTTTAAAGTTTTAAATTGTGAAACTAATAAGAGTTCAGTCGTTGGCGATTATTCGCGTTGAACGGTTGTGTATCGCTTCAGAATTTTATACTCAATTTTTTGTTTAAAAACAATTTTCTGCACAAATGTTACTGTTACAGTAGAGACGCGCGTTTACGTGTTTTTAAATATAACGTTCTTTTGTATGAAAGAAAAATAGAATTTATAATGCACATATGCGGAAGAAAAATTTTTTTTCAAAAATAATTAAAATAGTGCAAAAATCGGAAAGTGACAAATAAAATTGAGTAATTATATTAAATAAATGATATATATTTTTTAATTAAAAATCAAACTTATCATACAAAAAACAAGTGGTTTTTGTTTTTCGCAAGTTTGTTGCTTAAGTCTTTCGTTTGCATGCATTCCAAACAATTTATGTTTTGAATTTGTATATTTTTTTCAATAAAAAATTTTCAATAAAAATATTACAATATAAGATATATTGTATATTGTATATTGTGTTATTGACGACAACAGTTCAACATTAAAAAACAAACAAACAAAAACAAAAAAAAAAAAACAAGAAGAAAATAAGATAATAAAAAATAACTATAAAAAAGATTTATAATAAAATCTTATTATCTGTGAAAAATGTTAACATTGAAGTTGTGTAGATAATTAAGGAATTAGTCAAGAAAGAGTAATAGTCATTACAATGGCCTTATCAAATTTTTCATTACCATTTGGCGCATTGGCGCAATCTGTGCAATCGTGGGGTGCAACGGTCTCACCTCTACACAATGTACATCAGTTAGCTACGAATACGAATAATTTACTTTATTCACCTGCTGATCATCAACAACAAGAAGATGGCATACCACCACCTCCTGAGTCAGACTACTATAAGAATAATCCATATGCGCCACCTCAATTACATCAACCTCAACAGCAGCCACCACAGCAGCCGTCATCATATTCCTATAATATCAATAGCAACACCAATAGTGGTAGTAGACGTAAAAGTAGTAATACTTATTTACCACCCATACCCCCACCAGGTGCACGAAATACACAATTCCATCACCAACAACTGCAACAGCAACAGCAACAGCAGCAAGAACAATATAGTCACTTAAATGCTCAGCAACAGCAGCAACAACAACAACAGCAAGGTAGTAATAATATTGCATATAAAGCAACTACAACAACCACATCAGCTGCTGGAACTGTGACAGCTACGGCGACATCTACAAGAACGTATGGAGAAAGTTCTTATAGTCGTTTTCCGACAGCAGCACAGAATCAACAACAGCAACAACAACAACCAAAACAACAACAATATTTCAATGCGTTTAGTGCCACACAAACACGAGTCTCAAATACAGCTTCATCATCATTTCATCTACAGCAGCAGCAACAGCAGCAACAACAACAGCAGCAGCAGCAACAACAACAGGACCAACAACAACAATTACAAAAGCAAACCGTCTCACAAGCCAAGTCACAATTTCAACAAAATTTTGGTAATAAAATTGAAACACCTGCTGCAATTTATGGAGCTGCTGGTGGTGGTGGTGGTGGAGGTGGTGGTGTCGGTGTTGGTGTTGGTGATACTACGGCAAATGATGCCTACCCTGACCGTCCTCCAGGGTTTACGCGAGTACAAGCAGGACAAGGTACGCGTACACAAGTTCATGCCGTACTGGATTATGACGCTGAGGAAGGTGAGGATGACTACTACGATGAAAATGATCACGGAGAGTTGGTTAATAAAGGTAAGTGCCTATCTGATGTGAGATACAATGTAATATTAACTGTAGTTAAATTAATTGTTATTGCATGAACACATATTTTAAAAATATATTAAGATTAAAGATTAAGTTATATACCACGAATATATTGACTGTACACAATATATTGTTTATTTATTATTTTGTTACTGAAATATTGTAATAGTTGAACGCAAAATACTTTGGTCAGAAATACAACATATTAGCTATAATCACTAGTATATTTATATAGGAAGATTATACTAACATTATTTTATATTGCTTTATTTCTTTGATTATTTCCCTAATCTATAAATACGCATTGGAATGGTCTAGATATACTAGTTTCCAAAAAATATATTGTTTTAACTTGGCTCTCGTATAACTAGACCAGATCTTTAGAACTTATTGCGAAAGACTGAAAGCTTACTGCAGTTCTCTCTGGCCAATCGTGTATAGGAACCTATGTAGGAAAGCTGTGAACTCCTGAAAACTTTCAAGAAAAACAAACTGTTAAGAAAAAACAGGTTGCCAGGAAAATACTTTTTTAACATAACAAATTTTTTAACGTAAAATATATAATCTAATTTTCACAAAATGGATTTAGTTATTGTTTCTTTTTTATATATTTATTAAGGTTAAGCACAGGTTGGTGGATACTTCTGATTAGTGACTTTATGAGTTGTCCTAGTTAATTTCATTATTTACTTATTAAAAATTCATTTTAAGTGTTTAGTCTGTGCGAACACTATTTTGAGAATTCACTTATGTTACCGGAAATAGTTTAGTTCGGAAAATATTCTATCAAAAATTTTCTATTGTAATAAAAATTAATTTTCACAAATTGTCTGAAGTGTTGAATTCGCTGACCATCAAACAAGGAATATTCTTACAACTTTCACAATTTATCTGCTATTTATCTACAATTTATCTTCGACCTATATACTATTTATCTTCTTTTATTAAATTAAAAATCATTAAGATTTCACACTTAGCCGGGTCATTTACTAGACCTTTCAAGTATTCCCTAAAATAAATGCTGATTTTGAGTATTAGCTAAGTTAAGTTTGTATAATTCTAAGCGCAGCTTCAGATAAGTATCTACTTTGTCGGCCGACAAGTAATATTTTTAAATGAAATTTTTCTTATCCATTTTACTGTCAGATCTTAAGATTGACCTGGTCTAAACTGAACAAAAAACACATTATTCAGCTGCTTCAGTTAAGGCGTAACCTGCTCAGCGCTACGGTATGGGTGCAGACAGGTCATTGCTTAACAGGAAGTTATGCTATGAAACTGGGTTTACGTACAATGACTTTTGTTGTGGTTGAGAAGAAAACTGTGCCTCACTTCATGTATTACTGCGCATCATTAGCTAGGAGTAGATGTAAATTCTTCGGGGATCAGTTTTCTTACCGGCTTGACTGTGTTGTCATCATGTAAAATTAGGGACATAGCCAAGTTAATAGATTCGTCAGCTTAATGCAATTGTACCTAAATGGGTAGTCGTGCGTTTCGGCTTTGCTTATACGCATATCTCTAGGTGGCGTGTGAAGAGTGCTAATCCATGGTGCTACAACGCATGGACACAGTAGTTATATTATTGCACTTTCAAAAACTTAAGACATTTCATTAAATTTTAAATTGCAATTAGTACAATATTAAGTTATTTTGGTGTCATTTTGCATTAAGATAAGATAATAAAGATAAGAATAACAGCAGCTTCTAATAGATAAAATTTTTGAATCATAACTTCTTCTTGATCGTTTTTATGCTCATTTTTATGATCTTATATATAATATATGAATTCGCAAATCATAAAAATTTGGGGTCATGATATGCAGAAGTGATTGCTAAACAAAAGTATTAATTGTGTATTAATAATAGCAAGTTAGTTATCAATTATATAAAGCGGATATTTGTTTTTATATAGTGTGTCTAGAGATCTTATGGTGTTCTGGAGGGAACACATAATTGGCTCATTGTTGCACTATTAAACGTCGATATCAATGTGTGTAATCCCAAGCATACAATAAATAAGAGATCCACTTATAATTATTTTTACATGTATATATTTTATCTGAATTATTTATTTCCTTGAAAAATAATAGTGATAGTTTGTTGAGTGGATCGTCCTTTGTTTAAAGTTGAATCAGGTTCAAATCACAAGAGGTATTTCGTGGCATGAAAATTATATGCTGAGAAAAACTTTTCAAATAAAATATGAAAAAATTAGAAAATATTTTTTATAAAACTAAATTTTATTGATACTTTTGAGTATGAAAAATGTGAACGTTTAGAATCGAAATATTATACATAACTAAAATACAAGTATTTCTTAAAAGCAACTACTAAAATTTGTTTTAAAATTGCATAAATAAATAGAATTTATAAATAAATTACATCTAGAGAAATAATAGATTCTCTCAGTACATATTTACAAATATATTAAATAAACTCAATGCGATATAAATATTTACCTTAAAAAAATAACAAATAAGATCTTTTTATTTCTTGAAATTGTTTTATATTCATTATATACATGTATTATATATCATATTATTATATATATTTATTTTATTGAGTATTCTTATGACAAGGGACATTTTTGGTTGAAATATTACTCAAACTTCTACATTATTGTATATAAATTATCTATGTTTATTTGGGAATTCGAAATAAAATTATTAAAATTAATATAAAAAATATAAAATTAGATTTCAATTGCACATTTTTATATATATTTATTAACAACTGTATTTCTATTTAAAATAATGCAAATTATTCATTAATTTACATTATAAATGCATATTTTGATTGAATGCACCAAATAGGTGAATTCCCTTAGTAAAAAAATAAATTTTTTTACTTAACCTCCTATGTTATAACACTCATTTTTACTTAATTTGGTTTGTTTTGAAATATTCTTAATTATTGTAATACTCAATACTTTTTTAACATTTCCACATTTCCTCTCATCATAAGAGATTTGCCAAGTTCTTCAAAATAGCTTTCTATTACATAGCTAACTTCATCATTTGAATCAAATTTTCTTCCCCGGTTTGTTCTCCCAAAATTAGCGAACAAGTAACCATAAATGGTAGAAAAACTATTCGAAAAACAATTCATATTATTCGAGACTTGACGAACCATTATCTAAAAGATAGTTCACTTTTATTGTTTATTCTTTATTAAAGGGGCCAATGAATATTGCAATATAATGTGGGTATTCCAAAATAAATGTCAAATATGGCTAATATCATAGTTGGCTTCTACCTGTGGCTAACTACTTTGCAGATCAATTTTTTACAAACGTGGTTTATTCAACAACTTGGTTCCTTCTCATAGCCTAACGTTTATGTGGAACAAAGTTAACATATGCTTTTGATATCTTTACGAATTTAGCGATATTCTGATATTCTATATTCTATTCTATCTATCTATTAGTTAATATATTAAAATTTGACTAATCGTATAACGCTGTTTCGAGTATCTTTACGAATTTAGCGATATTCTAATATTCTATATTCTATTCTATCTATCGTAATACTTCATCTTGGCTTCCAGAGAGTTAGATATCACTTGTGTCTGTTTAATCACATTTTCTTAAATTTAGTATACCAATGATTGGTGACTAATTTAATAGCTGTTATCTTTTTTTTTTTTTCTTGCTTGTGTGAGCGAGGAGGCGGAATACATTATGCGCCATCAAACCGACTACTGTCCGACTTTTATTGTGTAGTATAAGAACTAAAACACCGCCCCTTCTACTTCGAAATTTCTTCCCCCAGAACTGCTTTTGCATTGCTTCAGAGAGAATTCCTTATAAATAATCTATCTATGCCATATGCTTCTTATGGAACCAGCGTCCAAGCTCCCACTCCTGATCCGAATTAGAAACTCTTTACATTGCTCTTAGATTGTCTTTAGATTTGTTTGTGTTCAGGTCTTTTTTACCCTGAGCACATTTCCGATGAATTGTGTGATTTCGCTTCATTTTTCTGCTCGTTATATAAATGATATTCTGTCTATAAAAAGGTTAAAAAATAATAATTCCACAGAAATCATATTAGCAGATTAATTATAAGTAATCTTTCTCCAATAACATCACTGAGGTAGTTGATCAAAACCCAAAAATAGATGTTTATACATTACAATGTAAATAAGGTAGTAGTAAAATGTAAATAAAACCTGACACATAGGACACATATAGGATAATATATTTGGGTAGGAAAAGGATAATGATCTTATATCATTTATATAAATTTATTTTGAAAGACTTTCAATAAGTAAAATTTTGAAAAGTGGCTTTTTCAAATATTACTACATATTTTTACATAATACTCAAAATACTCCACACATGACATTATAGATATTCAAACTGAAATGGGTACCTCGATATTTAACAAATATTTATTACTTAAAAATAATTTTTATGTAATCACAGAAAATTTATTCTGGATAAGAAAAGGCATAAGAGTAAGGAATTTTATAATTCTAAAGAAAATAGATTTTAGTTTATAGTCAATTAAATCCTTGCGATCATACAGCTTTTTCGAATAATGCTATTTATTCAACATCGGTGGTACTGGGACACATATATTGGTTCATTTTTTCATATATATATATTTTAGAGATTATCTATAATTTGGATAGAGCTTAAAATACTAGTATGTATTGTCTGAAAAACAAAATAAGTGAAAGAAGTGGTTATATTCCGAATAATTTCCATACCTATAAATTGTAAAATAAAAATAATTGTTTTTTTAATGTTGATTCTTTTTCCGAAAGTCACGCAATAAGAAATTGTTTTAAAGTTAGTAGGTTTCGGATAGAGATGAAAAGATCACAACAAAAATTTTATTTAATATATTAAAATTTGACTGACCGTTCAACGCTGTTTCGAGTATTGCCAAGTAACCATCATCAGTGGTCTGAGGAAATGTTCGATTCAAGTCCGTATTATTTTATATTTGTTTATAGTCCGTATTAGAATTCGTGTCTTT